GTTGAGCCGCGGCGCCAGCGAAGATTCTCTTTTTTTACGCTCACCTTTTCAGCAGTAAAATAGCTGAGGGGAAAGGTGGCAGGGTGGGAGTACCTCTGGTTGTTTTACAGTTGCTGAAAGATGAGTCCCCAGATCTTGGGAGCTTTGGGAGGCTTCCATATAGCCATGGGATTCCTATCACCTGTAGACAATGAGTTGTTTGATGTTTAACCCACATGGATTTTTTTTTATATATGTATACCTAAGTAAACCCATTGTAAAGATAGTTGTTCTTTCATTCAGATAAATTTTTCTTCATCTGGGCACTAAAGGGATACATAAAACAATGTTAACATTTTCGGGAATGTCTTCAACTAGGAATCAATTTTGTTTAACTTCTTATAGGAAAGCTTGAGTAAAATAAATATTAACTGTCTTTTTGTATGCCACCCCCCAAAAAAAAGAGTTTATTTTCTTATAAATCTTATTAGTTGGGAAATTTATTTTATTACTTATAAAATTTCAACCACTGTTGGTGATTGGATTGTTTTATGTCAGTGCTACATAAGAACATAAGTAAAGAGATTATGTGGTATTAGCTTTATGTCTTTGTTTTTGTCTCATATCAGAGACTATCTCTGTTATTCACAGCAGAAGAAACAGCAAAATAAAGACACACACAGTCTGAAATGGGAAAAAGCACTTGTGAAACTATGCATCTCATAGCGATTAATATCCAAAATATATAAGAAACTCAATAGCAAGTAAACAAATAATACTATATTACAAGTGGACAAAGGACTTAAACACACATTTCTCAAAAGAACATACACAAATGACAAACAGGCAGGGGCTGGCGCTGTGGCACAGTGGGTTAACACCCTGGCCTGAAGCATCACATCCCATATGGGCACTGGTTCTAGTTCTGGCTGCTCCTCTTCCAATCCAGCTCTTTGCTATGGCCTGGGATAGCAGTGGAAGATGGTCCAAGTCCTTGAGTCTCTGCACCCACGTGGGAGACCTGGAAGAAGCTTCTGGCTCCTGGCTTCGGATTGGCGCAGCTCCAGCCGTTGCAGCCAACTGGGGAGTGAACCAGCAGATGGAAGACCTCTCTTTCTGTCTCTACCTCTCTCTGTAGCTCTGTCTTTCAAATAAATAAAACAAATGTTAACAAAATGACAAGCAAGCAAATGGAAAAATGATCAACATGCTTAATCATAAGGGAAAAAACACAAATTGAAGTCATGATGACATATCACTTGCTTGGCTATTACCAAAACAGCAAAAGATAAGTGTGGCAAGGAAATGGAGAAAACAGACCCTTGTACATTCTTGATGGAAATATAAATTACTACAGTCATTATGGAACTCAATATTGAGGTACCTCAAAAAGTTTAAAATAGAACCACCATATTCTACAATCCTGCTCCTGGATATATATCTAAAGGCAATCAAGTCAATCAGTCAAAGATATCTCTGCATTCCCCTGTTCATTGTAGGATTCCTCACAATAGCCAAGACAGGAAATCAACTTATATGTATACTAGTAGATTTGGGTAGATTAGAAATTCTCGTGTATTGGGGCTAGTGTTGTAGCACAGTTGGTTAAACTGCCACCTGCAACACTGGAATCTCATCTGGGCACCAGTTTTAGTCCTGGCTGCTCTACTTCCCATCAAGTTCCCTGCTAATGCACCTGGGAAGGCAAGGGAATATGATGCAAGTCCTTAGGCCCCTATACCCACCTGGGAGACCACAGGGATGCAGTTCCTGACTCCTGGCTTCATCCTGGCCCAGCCCCAGCCTTTGTAGCCACTGGGGGAGTGAACCAACAGATGGAAGGGAAAATTGGATTTATACATGCAGAAATGTGAAATAAGACCCCTACCTTACAACTTATGCAGAAATCAACTCACAGTGGATCAAGGATCTAAATCTGTGACCTGATACCATCAAATTACTAGAGCAAAACATCAGGGAAACCCTGTAAAACATTGGCATAGGCAAAGACTTCTTGGGAAAAAAAAACCTGGAAGCACAAGCACTCAAAGGAAAAATAGATAAATGGGATTCCGTCATGCTAAGAAGCTTCTGAACTACAAAGGAAGCACTCTACAGTGAAAAGGCAACAGAATAAGGGAAAATATTTGCAAACTATGCAACTGATAAAGGGTTAATATCCAGGATCTATAAAGAGCTCAAGAAACTCAACAACAACAAAATAATACAGTCCAGAAATGGGCAAAGGACATGAACAGGTGTTATTCAAAGGATGCGATACAAATGGCCAACAGACACATGAAAAAATGTTCAAGATCACTAGCCATCAGGGAAACACAAATAAAAACCACAATGAGGTTTCACCTCATTCCAGTTAGAATGGCTATCATCCAAAAATTTAAAAAAAAAATTAACAACAAAAAAGCACAAATCCTGGCAATGATGTGGGGGAAAAGGTAATCTAAGACACAGTTGGTAGGAATGTAAAGCAGCACAACCATTATGGAGATTCCTCAGAAATCTGTAGGTCTATTACGCAGCTAACACACTACGAGGAATTTACCCAAATATAATGAAATCAGCATATGAAAAAGTTTTTTTTATCCCTATGTTAATTGCAACTGAACTCACAACAGCTAAGAAATGGAATCAACCCAGATGTGCATCAACTGATGACTGCATAGTGTATGGTATGCATACACTATGGGATAGTATTCAGCCCTAAAAAGAGTGAAACATTGTCTTTCACAACAAAATGAATACAGCTGGAAACGATTGAAATAAGCCAGTCCCAAAAAGACAAATTTCATACAGTTTCTCTGATACGTGGCTGTTAATACAGAATACAGAAAAATGTGCAGGAATGAAATGGACATTTTGTGATTAGATTGATGTTTTTACTTTGTATTTATACTCCTGTGGGACTGTGATCCTCCTACTTTTTACTTGTTGGGTAGTATGGTTCATCGTTCATTAAGCTTGTGATTACAGAGTTCATTGAAATTGCGTTTTTGCATAAAAAAAAGGGAAGGGGGTTATTGAGAGATGGAGATAGGGAGGGAGGAAATATGATTATCTTCTTCGAATTATATCTGTAAAGCACATGAAATCTGTTCTCTTTATATTATTAAAAATTTTTTAAAGAAATAATAATGATCTTGAGTAGATGTATGATTGATGGGTTAAGATGCACTGAGTGTAGGCCAGCCCTGTGGTGAAGTAGGCTAAGACTCCACCTGCAGCGTCTGCATCCCATGTAGGCGCAAGTTCCTTTACCAGCTGCTCCTCTTCCCATCCAGCTCTCTGCATATGGTCTGAGAAAGCGGTAGAAGATAGCCCAGATACTTGGGCCCCTGTACCCACATGGGAGACCCAGAGAAAGCTCCTGGCTCTTTGCTTCAGATTGGCTGAGCTCCAGCCATTGTGGCCATTTAGGGAGTAAATCAGCAGATGGAAGACCTTTCTCTCTACCTCTCCCTTTCTCTGTCTGTACCTCTACTTCTGAATGAATGAATGAATGAATGAATAAAAGTATTTTAAAAAAAGGATGCATTGGGTATATTCTTAATCCACCCTCCTTTAACCTGTAGTCATATTCACAAATGATTGGCTGGAATTCATCTCATAATCTGGGATCTTGGAACATATTTTACCCCCTGTGCAAAATTAATTGACCTAGATAGGAATTCAGTCTACTGCATTCAAACAGCTGCTCTGTGTTCCAAAAGTTAACTTGCCTGGATAAATATGTGTTAAGAAATAGCCACAACATTACTGTTACAGAATATTATTTCTAGATACATTTCTTTACTCATGACAGTGTAAAAATGTGTCCATATCATCTTTACATTCACTGAAAACTAGGAAATAAGTACATGATTAATAACCATCCTACCAAATCCTTCATTGTCTGGAGCCATATTTGTTTTTCACAGACCAGCTTTCTTTTCTTTTGGTTTTCTTTTTTAATCTAGTAAGATAGATGGGTTAGGGTAAGCCGTGGCTGTTCAGTAACATGATAACAGAGATGTGCATACATATTTTGCTGAACTACCTACCTTTGACTATGCTTATGCATAATAAGCAATCTGCTGCCTTTCCTAACTTTATATTCTTTATTCATACATGCATGCTTCAAATTATGTTTCATTCTTTCTTTAGGATATTTTTTTCTACGTGTGTGATTGCCTTAGAATCAGTATTTTTAAGATCAACCACAGCCTTTTCAGCTCTTTCATGCCTATGGAACAGGCATGCTCACAACATTGTTATGAGATTTAATGGGCAGCCTTAGCACAGGAAGTCCATTGTACAGAATTTTAGCTCCAGTTAATCTGAAGCAGATTCTCTTCACTCTTACTAAATATTCTTTGAGACATTTCATAGCACTTATAAAATATTATAACATTCATGTGGGAAATACTTTAGTCTATCTTCTTAAATTCATACATTTATTATCTTTTTGAAAAGTAACTGGATAAACAGTAAATTTAGTACAAATTGCACTCACTTATCTTCATGTGTCTGAAAAGATCAAGTTTTTTAATTACTATTATTTTAGCAATTTGTTCTAAGAAAATTAAAACTTTGACAGAAAATGAGCTCAGGTGATCGGGACATTGATTCAGGTGTACTTGGCATAGCAGTTCATTAACTATGTGTTAATTATGTATGATTACTCCTGAAAAGCTGTAGTGGCTTCATCTTTTAGGTTGCTTCATTAAATCATTAATTTTCATAGAGGTAACTAACCCTGACATAATTAAGTCATCTCAGTCTCCACAGATTTTTGTCTTCCCATAATGTCAAGAACATGGAATAAGTTAATATAAGGCATTGTAACTTATTCCCTGTGTGTATTGACTTTATTCTTTAAGATTATTTAATACTATTTTGACATTTGCTTTTGTACTTAATCTAATAAATGTATATTTTAATTATTTACTTAATATTTTAGTGTAGATTTTGTATTTCCTGTGTAATAATCTCATTTATGTATTTAAATGACTTCTTACCAACAGTTCTTTGACCCCTGGCTACATGAAGCTGCTTCATTTTATCCAGAACATCATTTATGAGGAAGGATTTGATGGATCCAATCCTCAGGTATAAAGTATTCTCATAGCCTTTTATAATCATGTATATGTAATGTTGTTTTCAAACTCTCTGGGGGTGGACCCAGCAGGTCTTAGAATAATCAACAGTGAGCAAGCTGCTTTCAAGCACACACGATGTAAATAAGCAGAGACAGCAGCCTTAGCTTGACTGCTATTATGTATTGGGAGTTTTAGCTAAGTTCTCAGTGGATGTAGATAACATACACACATGCTTTGCTGACATTAATTATTTCTAAATTTCTGGGATTGGTAAACAGAGACATTTCAAAAATTATTTTTAAATCTAATATCATACTTTTCTATCTTAAGTCTTTAGTTTTTTATGTTTTTCTGTCATTCAGGATTTCATTTCAAATTACTTACATGTAAGAATTGTCTTCAGATTGTATTTATAATACCTTGAGTAGTTTCATTGAATGAAGGATGCATTTCTTATTTGCTATCTTAAAATATTTCATAACTTAGCTATTTCTGTGAACTAATTTTTAAAACTTGCTCCAAATTTCCGTTTTAAAAAAATTCTGGTTATTTTAACTTAAACAGAACAAGAAAGTCTTATTTCCAGATTTCATGCCTTTCAAAATTCATTCTCAATGATTAATTGCTTTTTCCACTAAAATATTTTTATTACATTTATATTATTTTAGCAGAAATATGTCCAGAGCATCACTGATTTTTAATTGAAGAAGACACAAAAACCAAGAATCTTATTTTTTGCTTTATTACCTACTTCTACATTTGCTCTTAATTCATAGATTTAAAAATATTCTAAACTTTACTGCTACATTTAACAATTTATCCCTGTACAAATAATTTTAAAATTTGCTTTAATTGCCAGTTTAACACCAAGTTAAAAATACATGTATGTGTGTGGTAAAGCACAGACATTTACTTACAGACAACTTTTCATGTGTATTACAGTTTTTTTGTGAGGGCCTTCAATCTTTAATACAATTTGATTTAGCTTTTTGTTGCTCCATGTTTGGTCTTAGCTAGGATTTATGGGTACCATGCCTTCCCCTTGGTGCCAGTGCCTATCTGGAGAGGTAAATTGGTCCCTGATAGACACCTCTCCCCACTTGCTGTGGTAACTATGGAAACGGACATGTCATAACAGTTCCTATGTTACAGTGTGCAGATCGGCTGCTCTTGCAAGATGATGGCACATCTTCTGTGAGCAATAAATTTTATGGAATGCAAAAAAGTAAAAGCAATGGCAAAAGGGATATATTATGTACAAATACACACACCATAAAAGTCCTTTATATAAGTAAGCTAACTGTGGAATGGAATGAAATGTTTGTTGTATAATATTTGAATATTTTCAGGAAACAATCCCTTTTTTCAAACTAATTGGAGCTGGCTTGGTTCTCTGAACCAGAGGTTATATAACAATTGAGCCTTATAAAAAGTAAAGAGGGTTAAGGTAGACACTTACACGGTAAATACTAAGCATGTTTTTAAAAATGTTTTTAATTAAAATATGCCAATAGGTTATTTCAAAAATATACTTCCAGTATTATTGGAACTAAAATATAGTAAATGATTTTCCATATCTTTAAGTTATAGATTACACTGTTTGCTAAATTGTCTAGTCTATACATCTGTTTCAGAAACTTTAGATGAACTTAGGAAGCCACAAAAATATATGTCAAGCATTTCCTCAACAAAAATTACTCCTGGGTCATAATAATATTCAGACACTGCTGGCGCCACGGCTCACTAGGCTAATCCTCTGCCTTGCGGCGCCGGCACACCGGGTTCTAGTCCCGGTCAGGGCGCCAGATTCTGTCCCGGTTGCCCCTCTTCCAGGCCAGCTCTCTGCTGTGGCCAGGGAGTGCAGTGGAGGATGGCCCAAGTGCTTGGGCCCTGCACCCCATGGGAGACCAGGAGAAGCACCTGGCTCCTGCCATCGGATCAGCGCGATGTGCCAGCCGCCACACACCGGCCGCGGTGACCATTGGAGGGTGAACCAACGGCAAAGGAAGACCTTTCTCCCTGTCTCTCTCTCTCACTGTCCATTCTGCCTATCAAAAAAAAATTAAAAAATATATAAAATAATATTCAGACACTGACATAAATCCTAATTTTCAAAAGGAAAGTTATTTTCTTTATCACATTTTCAAAGAACTAATTAGAGACAATAGATATATGTAGACTCTTAGAAACTAAATAAAATCTGTCTTTTAAGTAACTTTGGTAGTATGTAGTGATAATGAATAGCGAGTAATAGCTCATCTGTTAAGATATTTTTGGTGAAGACAGTTGTTTTTGTCTTTCAAATATATAAATGCAATGTAGTAAAAAGGAAATTTGAACATTGAATTTATTTAGAGTATCATTAAATGTTAGATTTTCTCTTGGAAATAAATTTATCTATTGTAAAAACATTTATATTTAACATAGTTCATAGATACAATTTTTTTTTTTTTTTGACAGGCAGAGTGGACAGTGAGAGAGAGAGACAGAGAGAAAGGTCCTCCTTTGCCGTTGGTTCACCCTCCAATGGCCGCTGCGGCCAGCACGCTGCGGCCGGCACACCGCGCTGATCCGATGGCAGGAGCCAGGAGCCAGGTGCTTTTCCTGGTCTCCCATGGGGTGCAGGGCCCAAGCACCTGGGCCATCCTCTGCTGCACTCCCTGGCCACAGCAGAGAGCTGGCCTGGAAGAGGGGCAACTGGGACAGAATCCGGCGCCCCGACCGGGACTAGAACCCGGTGTGCCGGCGCCGCAAGGCAGAGGATTAGCCTAGTGATCCGCAGCGCCAGCCCATAGATACAATTCTAATAATATGATGATATCCTCTTACTCCCTCCTGTTCTCAAATCTTTCCTTTCCCTTTCTTTCCCTTCATTAGTTCCTGCCTTCCTTTCTCTTTTCTTTCTTTTTTAATTTTTGAGATAGTCTATTTTTAATTTACATTATAGTTAAAGGATTTAATTTTTATTATACCCACACAGCATTCTGATTATTATTTGGCATAGTAAAGTCCTATATGTCCCAAATAATACAAGATATTTGTAGTTCAATCTTTGCTTGTGCAATTATGACCATATTTTTTAAAATATAAATATATGCCTTGTGTTGAAGCATTAATTTCAATTATATTCTAATGTGCTGTGCACCCACCTTACTTAAACATTGTACATTTTTGCATTAGACATTTTGGTGCAGCAGGTTAAACCAGTGCTTGGGATGCCCACATCACATATTGCAATGCCTGAGATCAAGTCTCACCCGATCTGATCCAACTTCCAACTTCCTGCTAATACAGCTGAAGGCAGCCAGTGATGGCCAAAGTATTTGAGTTCCTCCCACCCACATGGGAGATCTCAATGGAGTTGCTGGCTCCTGTCCTCAGACTGACCCAGCCCTGACTGTTGCAGGCATTTAGGGGTGAACTAGTGGATCCCCCTCTCTCTGTCATTCTGCCTTTGAAATAATAAAAAGAGAATAAATAAGCTTTTAAAAATCATTTTGCGTTTATCTTTGGCTTAATGTTTTCCTCCTTCTGTACGCATATGTCAGTGTATCTGTCAAAGTTGCTAACTTTGGTAGTTCTGATTCTGTGCCTATCAAGATTTTAATTATAAACTTGTAGCAGAAACTTTTTGATACAACAATACTAGATAAATGGTGACCATTGGTTAAAATACCACTCATCCTTAGTTTCTGAAATGTTGAACAAGGGAAACAATATGGTGCTGCTCTACTTCTACTTCTATATTCCATTCTAGTATCTGGATTTTGTGTTTGTGCGTATGTAAATTTCTTGTTCACTTTTTCTGGGATACTCTTTCTGTTGGCATTCTAGCTTAAGTTTGTTACTGTGATATAACACATTTAGATATGTCAAAAGTCAAGTTTTGCCATTTTACTGAAATTCTAAGATTATAAGAAATAAGGAAAATAAACAACCTATCATAGCTCACAGAAACTTTATACTAATTTGCCGGGAACATACCTATACTTCTTACAAATGTCCTGGTACATCATCATACTTCATTTGTGAAGAAATAAACAAAAATAATTTTTATGAATTATTAAGAATTGTAACAGAATGTAAGAAGTCATCTATTTTAACTAATATAAAAAAAAAGTCTAGCTACTTTGGTTGTTGTATTATCACGTTTCAGGTCCTTGGAGTCAAGAAGTGTTTTTCAAATGTACTTAGTTTAGATTATTTTTTGGGTAATGTCATTCTTAACCTCTTAGCCACACCACTAGGTCCCTTTGTATATTCAGAGAATTTCATAAAATCACAAAGCAATATTCTATTTTATCTTTTTAGAGTTAAAGGAACAATGGCCTAAGTAATGTACAGTTAGCCCCTTTTTCTGTTGTGTCTATGGATTCAACCAACTTCAGAACAAAAATATACAAGAAAAGAATTACTTCTGTACTAAACATTTACAGATTTTTTTCTTGTCATTATTCCCTAAACTATAACGACTCTTTGCTTAACATTTACATTGTTATCTAATTTAAAGAATCTAGAGATGATTTAAAGTATATAGGAGAATATGTGTAAGTTATATGTAAATATGTCACCATTAATTTTTTTTATTTGAAAGGGAGAGAGAGAAAAGGATGGAGACAAACAGAGAAATATCTTATTTCTGTAGGTTTACTCTCCAAATACCTGCAATAGCTGTAATTGTGCCAGGCCACAGCTAGGAGCCTGGAACTTACTCTGGGTCTCCTACGTGGGTGACAGGGGCCCAAGTACTTGAGCCATCATCTTCTACCTCTCATGCTGCACATTAGCTGGAAGTTGGAGTCAGAAGTGGAGCTAAGACTAGAACCCAGACACTCCTCATATGGGAAGCAGGCATCCCAAGTTGCATCTTAACCACTGTGTGAAACACTCACCCCAGTACTTCACTATTTTGCATAAGAGATTTGAATATCCTCAGATTTTGGTATTCATGGGCTGTAGAGGGGTCCTAGGACCAATCCACCAACATCAATGGATGACTATATGTGCCTTCTTAGTTCTGTAGTCCAAAGTGTGTCTATGTCTTCATCATTTTACTAGCTCTTGTTCCCTTAGGTTTTCTTCTAATATTTCAGTATTTTATCCATTTTGCCTACTTACCTTTGTCAATTAATCCTGCTTGAAATAGGAATATACAAATTAGAGTTTCAACTGTAGTACCAGGGAAAAAGATAATGAGTATTGTGTTGAACAATAGCTAGTGTTAATAAATTGGTGATATTGATGATATTTTAAGGCAATAGCAAGTGATCTTGTTTCATCAGAAATTGCTTCTAAAGTGGCACATATTCCAAATGATGGCTTTAAAGGAGAATTTCATTTTTTTTCCATTGAAGCTATAATGATTTCCTAATTATTGGCATGAACCAGATTTTGTTAATGCCTCCTTCTTTTGCCCAGAAATTTTGATTGCTAAGGAAAACATTTACAAAACTTTTGTTCAGGAGCCAGCTCTGTGGTGTAGCAGGTAAAGCCTCTGCCTGCAGTTCTGGCATTCCATATGCGCACTGGTTCAAGACCCAGTTGCTCCACTTCCAGTCCAGCTCTCCACTATGGCCTGAGAAAGCAGTAAAAAATGGCCCAAATCCTTGGGCCCTTGCACCCTCCTGGGAAACCTGGAAGAAGCTCCTGGCTTCAGATAGGCGCAGCTCCAGCCATTATGGCCATCTGGGGAGTGAACCAGTGGATGGAAGACCTCCCTCTCTCTCTCTCTCTCCCCCTCCCTCCCTCCCTCCCTCTTCCTCTCCTTCTCCCCCTCTCTCTCTCTCTCCCTCTCTGCCTCTGCCTCTGCCTCCCTGTAACTCTGCATTTCAAATATGTAATAAATAAATCTTTTAAAAAATTGTTCAGTTAGAATAACCCAAACAGTAGAATTTATTATAAATATATGTGTTGGGAAACATAAGTGACAGTCATCCTAGGACTTCTTCAGTGTTTTAAAATGATTTTTTCTCTAGAAATATGTATCACTATTTTTATGACTTTAATGTCAGAAGGCTTAAGTTCTAAATGTTCACCTATAAAACTGTATAAAAAGTGTTTAACTTAAATTAAAAACTAGAGGTGCATATTAGTGTAAAATTTAAAGTGTGTATGTATTTAAACATCTTTAAAACAATAGATCATGCAATGGGTAGGATAAAGTTAAATAAGAAATGCTGAGCAATATAGTTTACTAAAAGACAAAATTTTTGGATACTGGGGCCAGTCTTGTGGACTAGCAAGTTAAGCCTCTGCCTGACACTCTAGCATCCCATATAGTCATGGATTCAAGACTGGCTGCTCTACTTCCAGTCCAGCTCCCTACTAATGCACCTGGGAAAGCAGCAGAAGATGGCCAAAGTACTTGTGCCTCTGCACCCAGGTAGGAGACCCAGAAGAAGCCCCAGCTGTTTCAGCCATTTGGGGAGTGAATCAGCAAATCGAAGATTCTCTCTCTCTCTCCTCTCTCTCTTCCTCTCTATGTAACTGCCTTTCAAATAAATAAAAAATAAATCTTAAAATTTTTTTTTGCATACCAACATTTTAGTTCATACTTTCTCTATTATTACTTGTGTTTGTTACATATTATTAGGCTACCTCAACCATAATTCTTAGTCACTCTTAATTAGGCCCAATTTTTCTTTTAATTCTTATTGTTATTGAAGAGGCAGAGAAACAGGCAAAGGTCCCCAAATGCCTGCAATGGTTGAGGCTGAGCCAGACCTACGCCAGGAGTCAGGAACCCAATCCAGATCTTCCTTGTGGTTGACCAGAACACACTGACTTAAGCTGCTTCCCAGGGTCTGCATTAGCAAGAAGCTGGAGTCAGGAACCTGAGCCAAGAATCCCACTCAGTCACTGCAGTGTGGGATGCAGCCATCTTGACTGTTAGGCCAAATGCCTGCCCTAGACACAGTTTTGAAATCAAGCATTGTAAAATTCTTCAAATTTTCCAACAGTGGAAAACATTCTGTTATTTTTATATTATAAAATCTAAAATATTTTCTTTATATTGTCATATCGTTTATAGCACATAATAATTTTTACATCTATTAACATTATCTTCCTGATATTATCAACATCTTAAATGTTTACTTCCCATATTCTTATGTCACGTAAGTTTTAGTTATACCTAATTGTCCAATTCCATTGCTTGTTTTCTTAGGTGCTTCCTTAATTAATGATAAAACTCTTTCTCAAGGACTTACTTTCTTTTAATGTATTAAATGGAGGAAATTCTTATGTCCCATAAGTTGTAGTTATGTCTGAGTGCTTACAAAAGATGTATCATTCTTGGATACTTCTTTAAAGTTAATTAAGTTTCTAACAAAAAAAAAAGTGAAATTAACTTTGAGATGCAATGACATTGAACAGCCCTTGTCTTGACTGTTGAATAACAGGTTGTTTTTTGTTTTTTTGTGCAAATTGTTGAACTATTTACTTAGTATAGAGCTGCTCTTCTGTGTATAAAGTTAATTGAAAATGAATCTTAGTGGAGAATGGGAATGAGAATGGGAGAGGGAGGAGGTGGATGTGTGGGAGTGTGGGTGGGAGGGCAGATATGGTGGGAAGAATCACTATATTCCTAAAGTTGTACTTATGAAATGCATGAAGTTTGTATTCCTTAAATAAAAGGTTTCTTTGGGGAACAAAAATGCTTACCTCCCTTCCACTTTCCTTTAGAAAAAGCAGAGAAATATCTTAAGAATAGGAATTCAGAGTCTTGGCTTACCGTTATGGGGAGATGACGTTTGTTGCTCAGAAAACTGTGACAGCAGTCACAGCCTTAGCAAGTTCCTCTACATTCTCCGTGGCCTGCTGCGAACCTCTCTTTCAGCCTGTATCATCACAATGCCAACACATCTTATCCAGGTAAGTATTTTGGAAAATGACTTTTCCCTAACTAGTGGTAAAGTGGTGTAACATTGCAGTTTTAATTTCCATTTTCTTGATAACTAATGATATTGATCATCTTTTCATGTGCTTCTTGGCCATTGCATATCTTCTTTTGTCTAAGTCTTTTGTCCATTTTTTTTAATTGATTAACCTCACCAAGACCAAGTTGAAAAATTCCTTCTATATTTTAGCTAAAGTTTTGCAATAATTTTCTTGTCATCTACAAGTCACATTTTCTATTTTCCTATGTCTTTTTAAGAGCTGGAATTTTTAATCTTGATGAAATTTATCAATTTTGTGTTGGTTAATAGTTTTTCTCCCTGCCCTTCCAACCTTAGCAATCTTTGTCCTTTTCTAGGTTGTCTTCCGATGTTTTCTTTTAAATATTCTATCATTTTAATCTTTTATTAATTGGTCAATATATTCCCATTTGAATTTTTTAGTTTTAATTCATGTTATCAAACAGCTTTTGATTTCTTGTTTGCTAATGTACTTTACATTCATTCGTTCTCTGTTAGTAGTACTGTTTATTAAAGAACTATTTTCTGTCTCAAATATGTGATGTCATATAATTATGTATATCTTATACATTGTACTGTCCATGAAGGCAGAGCCAGATATTTATACTTTTCTTTAAATGGCTTTATGATAGTAATATAATATTAAATGTGACAAAAATTTCTTAGCATAGTACCTAGGCTCTTTTTAGATGTTAAATAAAGGTTAATTAAATGAATATTGATTCTTACTTGGAAAATTATTACTAATGCCAAATTGTTGAAACTACTTGAATCTTCTGTTCTGACATATGCAGATCCTTCCAAGAAATGGAAAATTTATTAGAATGTCATTTAGTTGTACTAGTTTCATACAGCATACTTCAATACAAAGACTGAAAAGTTTAACATAAATAAGGAGTGAATTTTGACTCCTTGATAAGAATTTATTTATAATAGTCATGAGAAAATAACTGAGTTTTCATTTAAAGTTTTAATCAGATTGTGCCTAAACAAATTATTGTATTATAATTAGGCTAAAATTGTATGAATATCCTGGGGAAATCCTTTCTGTAATTATTTTAGACTTTACTCACATACTGGGATTGTTTTTATTGTTTAATTATGGAATTATTATAAAATTCATACTTTAATAGTAGTTAGCTTAGACCTAATAAGCATCTTGACTTTGATGATAAATAAACCTGAAACAGAATTATCAGATACTGATGAAGATACTGCTATTACTACAACTATTTATGAGGCACAGACTACAGGCCAAACATTTTACAAGCATTATGTGCTTGATTCTTTTCCTCAACTTTATGAAATAGTTGGTTCTCACAAGGTCCTCCAATTACTAAGTGGATGGGCCAGTGTCTTTCCTTAACCCCAAACTCCACCATCTTCACTGTTAGGTTTTATAGCTTACCAAAGGACCACAAAACCCCAATGTGACTACTATGTCAATTGCCAGTGTTAAATAAGTTAAATGATTTTCTAATGTCAAATGTCTTTTACACACTTTTAAACTTGATGCTCAACCTCAGATCTGTGTAACTGTAAAACAGAGATTTTTTTCCCCATACTATTACACTGCATCCTTATGTGTCTTGAATTATTAACTTATTTTGATGACACTAACTTTCCACTAGAAAAAAAAATGTTATAGGCAAACAGTGCTGTTAGTCAGCATTTTTATACATAGAATTAACATTGTAAAATTTTTAACAAGTTAATACATGTGAAAAATTAAGCAAAAAGTTCCAAACAAAGTGAGGGGGAAACAAAGTTATGTTTCCTTTTTATAGTTTTATAGGAAGAAATATAGTTGTGAAATAATGTATATTTATATATATAATTTTCCAAAGTTATTCTGAAGGAGTCTGTATAAAAAAGAAAGAAAGAAAATAGGAAAGAAAATAAAAATACTTCTAAATAGCCATTTTGTTAGGGATTGTCTTCTTCATTACCTAGAGCAGAGTTCCCAGCCTCATTTTGGATGTCTGTGACCATGTTTCTTGGAGCTCCTATTTGAGGTAACAGCAGTGATACTATCAAGTGATATCAAGATAGTCTATATACACCACTGATTATCTAATGAGTAAATTATGAGGTAGGCTGGATGTCTGAGCATGAAACAATATTTCAATTTTGATACTTTACAGATGTATTTAAGCCCTTTTATAATTGAAGAAATACAGTTTAAATGTATGTTTTTTAGTGTCAGTAAAGAGACTACTTTGTAATGAAGATAGTAAAATACAGGGAAAGACTTTGGTGTTAAGTATCAAGGTATACAGTGTGACTAAGAATTAAGACATGCTTCCTCAAAACAGAAACTGTCTTTTTTGGAGAAACTGTACAACTTTCTAAAATTTTCCCATTTTTCATACTCTTTCTCTCATCCGCTGTTCAAAGTTATTGTAGTGGTCTTCTGACCATGCTACCAACTGAGAAACAAATGGTTCCTCCACTCTTTAAACATGGTAACTCACTATCTAAATTTTCATGTCAAAACATTTAGGATAAAATGTAAAAATGAAGTGAAAAAGAACCAAAGAATTAGAAATAACATGTATTGAGGCTACAGACCTCCAAAACCAAGAATCTGAAAGAGGGTCAGGCCGCAAATTTTAAGGTGTACAAAACTATCAAGGCAGTAGAAATCTTCAGCATTCTGAACTCTTTTTTGAAAGACACTGATAAAGTCTTCTCCCAGCTTAGGTCTGACACAGACCAGGAGGCATACATAAACTCAGATGGCCATTCAGATCTTAGTAGCATCAATATGTTGTAATGAAACTCTTGGCTGCTCATCTTCCGATCCAGCTCTCTGCTATGGCCTGGGATAGCAGTAGAAGATGGCCCAAGTCTTTGGGGCCCTGCGCCCATGTGGGAGACCCAGAAGAAGCTCCTGGCTCCCAGCTTCGGATCGGCACAGCTCTGGCCATTGTGGCCATCTGGGGAGTGAACCAGCAGTTGGAAGACATTTCTCTCTGTCTCTACCTCTCCCTGTAACTCTGTCTTTCAAATAAATAAAATAAATCTTCAAAACTCTTTTTTTTTAAGATTTTTTTTTATTTCTTTGGAAGAGTTACAGAGAGAAGGGGGGTGGGGATTTCTGACATCTGCTGGTTCACTTCCCAAACGGCTGTAATGGCCGGGGCCAAAGCCAGGAGCCTGAGCTTCCTTTGGATCTCCCACATGGTGCAAGGGCCCAAGCACTCGGGCCATCTTCTGTTACTTTCCCAGGCATATTAACAGGAAACTAGATGGGAAGTGGAACAGCTGGGACTCAAACTGGCGCCCATACGTGATGCTGGCGCTGCATGCTGGGGCGTTAACCCTCTGCACCACAGTACTGGCCCCTATAACAAAAACTTACCAACATGTGTCAACTTCCTTTCCATTATAACCAGTAGCATCTCTGGAGGCTATTAAGTTGGGATTTAAGTTGGGATTGGATGAATGAGGATAATTTAGCTTATTTGCTCATTCATTCAACAAATCCTACAGGCAGTGCTCTAGATACTCATGAGGATATGGTAGTGATCAGGACAAACAAGATCCTTATCCCCATGGACTTTTCAGCAATGTAAAAGATAGGATGGAGCTTTTTTGCTCCATCCTATGTAGTATGTGCAGGTATATGGATGCTTGAACTTGGGAGGTGATAGTAGAGTGATTTATGGTAGGAAACAGAAATGAAGTTTGATATCCTTGGAAATTTTGTCATATAATTAAACATCTATAATGGTGATACATTTATTTGAATATGTAATTTAAAAAATAACACTAGGTTAAAAGTATATAAAATATCTTCATCTCTTAGAGTGATAAACCAGCCAATGGGTGTTCTGACTTAAGTTATTAGCATTCTGTCAGACTTCTACAGTAATGATTAGTTACCCTTTGTTGTACTTTTGGCGTGCTTCCCATGTTTAATTTCATTGTCGTGAAGGAACAAATACTTCAGGAAAGTGCAAAGTAGAGGTAAAGTTAAAATAGGAAAAATAATGTCATAGATTCAAAGATTATTTTAGCTTATTTTTGGAATGAGACTTTTGCAAGTAAATAAGAATTTTTTTTAAGTTTGCCTTCGAAAACTTTATGTTCAGTTTCACAATGTGAACTTGAAGTATTTTCCTTTGGGTTAAAGACTATTTCTATAACATCACAGAAAAAAATAATAAGAATACTTTGAATCAAATTTATAAAAGTAAATCCTACATATCTGTTAAGAAAATACTAACATTATTCAGTAAATATATTATTAATGTCTTAAACATATAGAGATAGCCTTAAACAATTTTCCCTGTGAAGCAGTAGTATTACTCATATTATCTCTTATTAGAATATAGTTCTAATCTCTGCCCAATGACATTGTTCAAAAAATGTATGTGAAAATGCCTAAGTTAAATACAGACTTTGTTACATGCTGAACTGTGGAGTAAAGTGTCATTAGAAGGAGCAGAACTACGGATGGCTCCCTTATATCCCGGCATTACTCAGTTCCCAGATCCCTGCTGTGCAGTTGTTCCACTCGCCAAGAAGCCTGTTAAAGAGCCCCCAAGAGCATGTGTACAGCCCTCCATGTTAATAGTTAATTGGTGAGGATGGCAAGATGAGAGGACAGCCGAACATGTGGTCTCTCAGGCTCAGGCAGTAGACAGACCTTTAGTTATAATAACAGCAGCTGCTCACATTCTCACAACTCAACTGTTCTAAACTCTGTTGTCGAGAGAAGGTTGTTGGAGTTTAGAGAGAGAGAGAGAAGGTTATATATATCAGAAAAATAACTAAAGCCCTATGTTTACCTCTTCTACATATTAAACTGTAACAATATTATTTCAACTTAAAAAAAATTTAAATGTAAGTTTCCATAATAAAGGCTGTTATATTTCAGCTACATTAAACACTACTGCTTCTTTTCATTTACTGTTAGAAATGTTTTTGCACCCTTCAAAACTTTTTAAG